ACTGCCGGTTTATAGACTTTTTTGCCGTATGAGTATGCGTCGACCAGGGTGCCCCACGAGGAGCTAAGTCTATCGCACACCCCCCCCCCTTTTTTAAAATATACGCAGATTAATATTTTCGTAAAAGCGATCCATTGAGGCAGAAATCGGAAAATACTTGACTCCTATATCCTGATAAAAATACTTTGACAATACATGGACGCCAAACTAGGTCCATATGGAATGAAAAAATTCCAATTGAAACGAAGACCAAGGTTTTCACATGACCAAACTCATTGAGTTTCACTGCTTTCAAATGATCATTTAGACCGTTTAATCATGATGCAAAGCAGGTAATAAAAACTGAATGAGAAGTGGCAGGTGACGAGAGATCTACATGGAATGTGAACTGGAGTAAAAACGACAAATTATCGATATTAGCTTGTAACTTGGATAGAATAAAAGATATTCATCATAAGAAAGTGGAATAAAAATGTGCAATACATCTGAGAGCTGGATAAGAAATATGAGCAATAAAATAAAGCAGTGATTAAATTCATATACTTCAACAGGAAAGGCAAACAGTTACTTAGTGAGGTTGATTGGTGAGACATCTGAACAATGACACTTTTCTCTTCACTTAGAAAGAGTTCCTTTCAATAAGCATGTTCTCCTATTCCTAATCCAACAAGATCGATAGGAGTGCTGGGACTACTGTGTAATTTATAGAGGACATACTGGATGAAAAGAAAGTGGGATAGTATGAGTGACTATTCTTTGACAACTTTCAGCAGAGGATTATGTATAATAAATCAATTTGTAAGAGGAAGAGAGCTAGCCTGACCATGCGCGCGCCAAGTTCCCAGTGTGTAATAGATCGAATATAACGCAATGCAGTGCAATGCATATTGTGTCAACAATAATTAGACTGGTGGCAACATGTGCAATTAAAAGATAAGAAACAGATAAATCCGGGAGATTAATACGATTTCATATATAATGATCTAGTGGAGGTTTACTGTGAGTGAGATTTAGTCAGCCTCACTAAGATAAGAGTGCCAATCAGCTAGTCTAAGATGAGACGAGTTCATCGAAATGACAGCCACTTTAGTTAAAAAGAAATTAATATGGCAGAAATGCACTTATTCAAGAAACTAGAGGTCGTTTGCGCCTGAGATATTAAAATTATGTCGTTTTTCGCATCTTTAATTAACTGTCACTTTTATTTGATAATTTAGTTGTTCCTCACAACCTAGGCACTTACGAATGGTCTGTTTTTTTGTTTTGCTGAGGATATAAATTCGTTAAAACATTTATCTTTCCTAAGTTCAATAGATTCTGAAATTAAAAAAAGTTCGACACAATGAAAATTTAACATTATGATAAAATGATTTGGAGCTGATCGAATAGGCATAGAAATAGAACTTCTATCTGGAAGTTATTAATATATAAACGTGTTCTGTAAAATCTGTGACATGCGTAACGGATACTCGCCCTAAAGTAGGGGTTATAAGATTAGTCATCTTCGAACTGCGAACAAGCATCTGACAATAGTACTTAAACAAATACATGTTAAAAATTACACAGTCACAAGTCCCTCAAAAGGGATTCTAGGATTTTCACTTAGAAATTGGTAAAGACCGCCTAGTCACCCGATTGGCAAGTCTGTTGGGTTTAAGACCACGCGATGTGTATAGGCCAATTCATTAAACACAAACACACACACACACACACACACACACTTCACAAATTATAAACTCCTATAAACATCCACACTTTCTGAATGGCCTCAGAATATGGAAATATGTAAAGAAATTAGGCAATAGATTAATGTGAATGCGTTAGGTTCAATTGGAATAGCAATAATGTCAACAGGAAAAGCACCAAGACATGGCCAGGTCACAATATAAAAACGCGTATAAGCATGAAAACGACACAGTCGTACGTAAACACACTGAGAGTGTTATTTGAATACAAGGGAACACAGAAAGTGGACAGAATTCGTCCGAAAAGGGCTCTAAATTTAGCCCCGGTGGCCAGTCAGTGGAAAGAGGAAAATGACATAATAACAACAATAACAAAATTGAGAATGAGTCATAGGTGAAATCAGCCGGGCTAGAAAATCACATATAAGGCTAGTACACAAACCATCGTTGATATAGGTGGTTAGTGAGGGCAAATATAGGTAAATCATAAGGATGGAGATGACGTTAACGCTTCACAGGAAAAACCATTAAAAACGATTATGGGTACGTTGACGCCATATTTGTTGAAAGTGAAGTACAACCAATAATCTGGAATAGTAGCTTATCATAATATCGAATTCCAAGTAATCTCTAACTTTCTTTAATCGTTAAGAAAAATATCTAGAAATAGGCTCACTCTTTATCAATAAATGTAGGCATCATGGGCACTTCAGTGGATGATATTATAAGCGAGTAGAGAAAAGGCAACAACAGGCTCGATCTTCGAGCTTCAAATAAAAATCGAAAACAATCGCCAAAAGGAACTTGCCTTATCTTCTTGTTTTTGAAGTGTGCGATGCTGGGCCTCTATTTTAACATGCATCATTCTCAACTGTTCATCCAGAAGCCTTTTATCTTCTTTAAGCAACCTCACCAGCTGGTTAGTCTTAATGCATTCCGCCATATGATTCAAATAGGCATCCTCCTTTTCACGCAAATTCTTCACCAACCGCGTATTCTGTTCTTGCACGTCCTCAAATGCTTGACCCGTTACCTGATAACAAAAGGGGGGGGGGGGGGGGTTAAAAAAAGTCTAAACAAAATAACTAATCTTTGCGTGCTTCGTAGCGCATCTCCATACCTCCATCTCTTTAAGCATGACATCCTCCTGCTGTTTCGCCGTGGCAACCTGCTGCTGGAGGGAATTCACACATTCTTCCAATGTATGACAACGACGCTGCGTATGTTGAAGTTCAAGAAGGAGTTCGGCCACTTGCCAAGCTTTCCGTTCTTCCTCCAAATTGGCGGAATTTTTTCTAGGAACGGGTGGCATAAGAGGGTGCTGGATTGGTGGGGGTGGTGGTGGAGGAGGTAGCGAAAGCCCAGCTTGGGTTGGCGTCGACTTATCGGCTACCGATTTTTCAGTACCTTCTGGACAGACTGTGGTTGTGGTGACAGGAGAATCGGTTGTTGCCGTAGTTGTTGTAGTTCCATGGCCTTCCTGAGGGGAAGGTTCAGCAGAAACACCCTCGACTTTACGATCTGGATTGAAATTAGACGACACCAATTGAGCCTCAGTAGTAGCGGGTTCCCGTTTGATATTAGTAGTGGATGCAGAGGCAATACGACATTCACGTTGAAGATGAGCGTACCGGGTATGCAAATCGCCGTAACTGGTTTGAAGAGAGGTGAGTTGATTGCGAACTTCAGTGAGTTCTGAACGTAACTTTGATTCAGACTGAAGAAGCGCGGCTTTATCGCGCTGATCTTTAGGAATGACTTTGTACATATTCAGCAAAACCGACATCTCTTTTTCAGCATCTTTTGAAGTTCTACGAAGAAAAAGATAGAAAAACATCATTGAGAAGAGAATAGGCGAAGAATTATTAGGGTAGCACCTAAGATTAACAGCAAATACGGTCATTTGACTAATGAACAATTTTACAGCTTAATAAATGAATTTGGAAATGGAGATATTTTGGAGGCAAAACGTACTTCAACTGTTGCCTGAGGTCACGAATTATTTCCTCAGCCGATTGACACGAAGTACTTCCTTTTCGGTCTCGTGAAGTAGAGTCCTGAGAAAAATTTAAAAAAAATGGAGCGTAAAATATCACAAAAACAAATAATGATTGTGAGAAGAGATGGGGATCTCATTTGACAAACTTCTTAAGGGGAGTATAAAAAATCGAAAAAAAACTGTCTAAATGATTCAACTCTTTGATTGCGGTAGACCAATTTACTATCAGGTGGTTGGATGCTTTACCTTCAGGACTCAACACTTAGAAATATTTGATTGAGAATTAACTTCCAAAACAGTACACGGACGCTCAAATCTTCAAGAACATCTTCAAGTACTCGACATCGAAATTATGGAACCGATACACCAAATGCCAAGACCATCAAAAACTATAGATAAGACATCCAATCAACTGTGGAGACAAGAACAGATTGTTTCCAAGATGTTGAGGGAGCATCGGCCAGTAATCATTTATTTATTTATTTCAAATGGCAGGCTTTATGATATTTATCATTCGCCCTTACACTTTGACTTCAGCTTCCCCCAAGGGTAGGGGGGGGGGATACATTTATAGCAGTTAATTAATAGCAGTTCATTAGCTGTCTTCTTGCTTCCCAGTATCTTTGGCTTTGTGTCGTTGTATTCAGGGCTAGACACCAAATGAGGTGGGTCTTCTCCACTTCCTCCTGTAGGATACATAGGGGTGGGTCTTCTCCGTTTCCTCCTGTAGGTCACATAGACAGGTGGGACTTCTCCATTTCCTCCTGTAGGTTACATAGAGTATATGTGGGTTGAGTGTATACTCTCAATCTGTGAAGGTGTTTTGATGGTTGAGTGTATACTCCCAATCTTTGAAGGTGTTTTGCCAGGCAATCCGTCGGTACGTAGTCTAAACTCAGCAATGGCTTCGATTCTTGGCTAGTCGGGTATGTCGAAGAGTGCCACTGTCCACTGTTTCTCCTTTCTTCGAGGTAAGACTCAGCAACGGCTTCGATTCTTGGCCAGTCGGCCGGAGAGTGCCACTGTCCACTGTTGAACAGCTTCGATTCTTGGCCAGTCGGCTATATCGGAAGGTGCCACTGTCCACTGTTTCTCCTTTGTTCGAGCTTTCAGTTCATTGCACCTTGAGGTCCAGAATTCGCTCTTGATTAAGGCCTTCATTGTGTGGAAAGACATCGGCCGGTACATGCATTGCAAAATCGTTGTCCCCTTCTTAGCAAGTGTATCAGCAAGCTCATTGCCTTCAATTCAATGCCACAGTGACCAGGAATCCATTGTAGGACCACTGTTTTGTTTTTCTCTCTCAGGAGCTCATAGAGTTTTCTACATTCCTTTATCTCAGCTGTTTTGGGTGGCTCTATGCTTCCAATTGAGTTTATTGCTGACTGAGAGACCGAAAGTATCACCGCTTTGGTGAATTTCGTATCCAGGCAACATAATTGGCATAGTGCTATCCTAATGGCCTCTATTTCTCCTTTGAAAGCGAATCTATTGTGTCTTACTTGCATCTTTAAATCTCTTGAAGATTTTCTGCCCAAAGGGTTTTTCTTTTGCTTGTGGGAATAGAACTTCGCAAAATAGTTAGCGATTTCGGAGCCGGTGGTAAGCTGTTTGTTTTTTAAACGCATTGGTTCTTTCTTGGGACTTTGCTTGTTGTTTTGGAGGTTACCCAGGAATTTGAAAGTGCGTGGGCTATCACTTTGATAGTTGATATTTGAGATAAACTTGTCGAAGGAAGTCCATTTAGCTTGTAAGATGGCTTGCCTTAGGACAGCTGATTGCCGTCTCCAGGCTTGTACGTCTTCTGTTCTTCCAGTCTGATCAGGAGTGTTGCGAAAGGCATCCCTCTTTCTTTTCAGTTCCTCAAGTTGTTTAGACCAAAACACTCGATAGTGTTTAGACATGCCTTGGGGAATAGTTTTCTTTGCACATCTAATCATAATATTCGTGATATCATTGCAAAGTTTGTCAGGATGTTGGTTGAAGTTGAGGGGGCTTGTGTGAAGTTCATTCTCTAAAAGATTTGTGAATCTAGGCCAGTCAGCCTTCTTGAAGTTCCATGATAGCTTAGTTGGCACTTTCCTTGTCATGCTTTTGTTGCCGATGGTAATACTAGCAATGGCTGGTTTGTGACCAAAATCAGGATCATCAATTAATTTGCGTCGCGTATGCTCGCTGATGTCGCTTGAAGCCAAGAGTAAGTCAGGAGTTGTTCTGGTTCCATTGTAGTGGAAATATGTAGCCAGATCCTCATTGCTGTAAATAAGTTCCAGAGGGTTGCTGTTTAGCATGTCAATTTCCTTTCCAGCTATGTTTGTATCCTTGTAGCCCCATCTGGTGGAATGGGTGTTAAAGCCTCCTAATATTACAGTTTTGTGTGAGATGTTCAGAAAGTCAAAGTTGGGACAATTCTGGGGTGGATTATAGACTGCATATACCTTGAAGTGGTTTTGACATTTCCACTTGCAACTTGCCGGTATTTAGGTAGAAGGTACAGGGTGTAACCTGGGAATTGGTAGTACTTCAGTTTGTCATCCGAAATGTTTGATTCCATAATTGTGAAAATGTCTATATCACAGGTTTGTAGGATTTTCTGGACTTGGATCTTCTTGTNCCCCCCCCCCCCAGCATTCCACTGGAGGATCTGAAGACGTTGTGATTCACCCGGACAAGGGCGATTTCTCTTATAGCCTTGTTTCAAGCTAATCATAATAAATCGAAGTCAAATCAAATGCCGAGTGATAGACTTTTGCCGTACGAAAATACGTTGTCCAGGGTGCACCACGTGGAGATAAGTCTATCGCGAACCCCTCGGCCAATGATCGTAATCTCCTTGCATTGGGGGTCGGTGCAACTCATCATGATGGGGGTTATCCTCTTCTATTAATCGAATGGATTCTTATCATCACGAATGAAAAAAAGAAGAATTTAAACTTTAAAGCAAATAACAACCAAATATTATTTTTTTATTTATGGGTGTGCGATAGACTTACCTTCAAGTGGTGCGCCCTGGGCAACGTATACTCATACAGCAAAAAAGTCTATAAAACGGCAGTTGACCTCTGACTTCAAACTACCATCACCCCACTGTATGTCACATTCGACTACTTCCACAGTACTTACCTTACCTCTATCCCTACCTTTTCTTCCTTTTTCATCTTGATATTCCTTCCCCTCTATGAAGCCTGGAGTCAACTAAAGGGCTAATGATAACCATCAAAACGCCAAGTGAGAGCAATTGCTTTGCTCACTAAACATGGATGAGCATGTCTCGACCTCGTTTTTATTAGCAAACTTCTCATGGCAAATAATTCCTTCATTACGAGAATTCAGTAGTTGAATAAATTCCAAACAATATTTGATTATTGACCGAGAGGTCTATAATAGTCAAGTCGGATGGATTGATAAATTTATGTAAACATTTGAGAAAGACATGTGTGCCGAAATGGCCCACCATTTGATTGCCAGCTACCAGTCTTAGTTTCACACCTACTAATCTCATAACTTGCTAATCAAGAATGGATAATAGAACCCAATTAGCGGACCAGATATAGAGAAAAAAGCAAAAAACACGTAAGGAAAGGGTAAATTGTGATTTGAATTTTATTATTATGGATAGGCCTTATTTTAGGACAATTTCCCAGTTAGCGGAAGGAAATACAGGCATGAAATGGTTCTTCGAATATACACGACCGATCAACCAAGCATTAATTTCAAATCTGGGCGCATTACAAGCCTGATATCAACATCTGTTTACTACTATAAATTAAAAATATCTCTAAGACATGAAGAACCTAGTCAGATCTCACAAATGGTATAAAAAATGCATTATCATTTATCCGAAATAGTAACTCAATTTATAAATTATTGATAAAAGGGCTAGGAATACTAGTATACGGACCGCAATAAACTGGCATAAGACTTAAATTCCACTGAATTTTGAAAGGTTTTACGAATGGCGTAGTAATTAGCAAAAAATGTCAATTCAGATACTTATGAGTTTCTCACTGATGTGGATATCAGGTCAAACGTTTCAATACTTCCTTTTATAGAGTAGGAAGGACAATACGGAAACAATGAGATCAATTTTATTGAGACTGTGCCATCTACCCGTTATTTTATCGGTTAGATTCCTTTACACATATGAATTATTTAAAGTTTTTCAAAGTTGCTGATCTAAAAAAACGTGTAAAAAAGCGTCAAAATCGCATTTAGAGTTGATAACTCACTTGGAAAACTCCAAGAAAATCTATGCATTTCTGTTACCAAACAATTTAATAACCAAATGCTAACCTTAGAACCCTATATTAATGGACGATTAAGAAAACAGCAAATAATGGAGTGCATTTTCGGAGGTCACCCAATTTACTAACAATTCGGTGTTCTGCCTATCATTTAGGGCATGAAGTATCGCTAAGTGGCTCCTTTGTTTCTGAATTAAAACCATGACCGAAGCTCACTAAACACATCCTTTTGCACAAATATGGAAAGCATACATTCAAGAAGTTCCTTCTTTTAACCTCTAGGTCCATGAAACTGGAGACTTAGAGGCATGGAATGGTTTTTCGACTAGTAGCTTTAATACAAGTGCTCTAATTTACAATTGAAAATGTTTTATCTGAAACAGTTTCAAGTTGGGATGCATGAGTGCAAGTGTCGGACCAACCCCACATAATGCAGACAATTTTCAGATTCATGATGTGCATACATGCAGCCACCATCAGTACAGTCGCGATCAAAAAAACACACTGATAGCCGAGAAAGGGAAGAACATACACAGAGAGGGTGGAGCAGAATGACTCCCACCACCACCACCCGACAAGAAAGCTGCGTGTGCGCTTGGCCGTAAACAATGATTAGCACCTAAGCACTGCACAAAAATATGTTTAAAGAGCACAGCAGCATGCAACACAATACCGCAGCGAGTGACGCTCGATGATATCTTGCTATTAAGTGCACAAATATAATGAAAAATTACCATCGGCAAATGGGAAGCTGATGTGGGAGAAGACATTTCAGCTTTGACCTCCAATGGTTCAGAGCTCTCAGATTTGCAGAGAGATTGCTGTTCTGAAGGTGGAGCATCAGAGGACACAGCTGTTGTCGTAATTTCCGTCGGTTCCTTCATCTCTTTCGTGAGTTTGAGTACAGCTGCATTGGCCTCTGAAAAGGCTTTCCTAACCTGATCTAACTCCTCTTGTGTGACTTTCAACTCTTCAGCAATTTGTTGGTGATTGTTGGCTGCCTCCTTAGACTTGCGGCGAAAACGGTAGACTTCGTTTTTTAGCTGTTTGTTCTGTAACTGGAGAGTATTGATGAGGCTACGCATCTCACTACTGATGGGAAGGACTTGTTCGTTGTGGGCCATAACCTGCTTCAAGTCTGCTTCGACATCGTCAAATTGACGACGAAGTTTGGCATAGAGCTCTTCTTGGGACATCATCTCAGATTTCATTTGAGATAGTATTGCCGTCTCGTTAGCCTACAAATGCAGAGAAGGAGAGGAAGGTTAATTGCGTTAGGCTAAAGGTAAAATCCTCTCCAAAATAAAAAAATTAACCCCCCCCCCCCCCCGCCAACTAGAAAACAATGCAATTTATCAGGCTTGGAGGAAGAGGGTTGGTACAATGTGTCCAACATTGATTCTGTTTGAGAGATAGGACATGGGAAATTAACACAAATTAGTGTTTGAATATAGGTGAAATTAGATCATTTCTGCGCAAACAATCTGAACCGTTCTAAGGCTATAAAGATGGGATACGAACTGTGATAAATACAGGTTATCAGTGCCAAACCCTTTGAAGGAAGGCGATTCAAGTATTACTAGCCTCCCATGTACTCAAATGTATCAAATTTGTCTACGACCACAATATAAAACTGTGTTAAGTAGAACAGAAGTACTCTATTCTCAATTTTCTATGGTTTTGCGCAGTGCAAATTAGATTACAGAAATGAATGTATTACCTAGTAAACATAAGCAGGTCACAAAGATATACACTTTCGTCTAAAAGATTGAAGCGATCGGATAAATAAATGGTAATGCGACATTTCCGTTGTAAGTTATAGCCATCCAGTACAATTTCACACTAAATTGGTTTTATATTAAACTTACTTAGGAAAAGACCCTCGAAAATATCTGAAACGGTATAAAATTCAAGAGGAAGGGGCTTTAATTTGCAGAATACGGTTTAAAAATTTAATTAAAAGATGACATCACTTATCTTACATCGCCGAGGGACTGATAAAAACCTAAATCATTCAGACCTAACCAATTCTCCGACAACTAGGCTCTCAAAAGAGTGTATTGATCCACCCAGATCTGTGTGCTCTCTCGATAAGGGTTAGATCCAAACGCAACTTGGTACTGACCGCTTACAATACCTGCCCCCCCCCCCCCCCCCCCCCACCCCAACTGTGGCGAACTTGTCCATCAGGTCTTCCCATAATAGCATGTGGCGGTGGGTTGCAATGTAATCACTCAGTTTACCTTCCCGTTTGTTAAACAATATCTAGCAAAAGTGCAAAAGGTTGCGAGACCAAAATTACTAGAGAATAGCGATTTGTCAGCATTTTCTGCCCTGCTAAAATCAATCGCATAATGTTATATATTAGACCGAATCCTATAAGGGAATAGAATGCTATAAAAATAAGTTATCTTCCTTTTGAACCTAACACCACATGTACTAATACGGTGTATTCTAACATGCCAAATAAAAACGAATTAAAAACAAACCTCCATCTCTTCAACTTGTTTAAGATGAGCATTGCGCACGGTTTGAATAATACTCCGAGATTCATCCAATTGAGTCCTTAGCGTCTTAATCTCAGAGTAGAGAATATTAAATTGAACTTTGAGTGATCTGTAGAGTGGCGATTCCTGAATCAATTCGTCGGAAGGGTCATTGACCTGAAAGAGGTCGAACAATTAAAAATCCGGCTTAATTTAGTGGCTAAAGTTTCATTAAGACATTAATTAATTGCGGGGACTTAAATACTACAAATAAGCAGGCCAAAAAACACCCACAAATTAAATATTCAGAAAATCAAAGTTCGAGTGACAACCAAAAAGAAAAAAATAATAGAGCACACTGGTATAGAGCATAGTAACAGTCAATTCCATCGTTTCTTCTATGCGAGCACTAAATGACCAGTGATAAAGCATGGAGAGGATTAATATATCTGCCACATGAGAAAAGTAGGAAATTCTTCCATTATTTCTTTTACTCTTATGTATTGAAAGTGACGTCAAATTAACAATGTTTATCAGAAGTAATAACCTTATAAAGTGCAAAATTAATTTGAGCCCCAAGAGGATAACTGCATACCGTCATATAAAGTGAGAGAATCACCTTCTTTGTCCCCTCTTTCCTCTCCATTGAGTTTTATTTTATTGCTCTTGGGGGGATTCATAGCGTCTAGGTAAACAAACTAAAATACCGCACAAAAGCAATGCCCAGTACAACGGCTTAGATACACCATGCGATCCACTTAACTGCGGAAGAAGGCAATCACCCTTAGTCAGCCAAGTCTCTAAGGTAGTCTATCATGTGGTACAAAAATGAGATGAGAGTAGGGCAAAAATTACATTACTACTTGTATTGTCATTTAAATCGTGAAGGAAATAAATAACCCACTTGCATGCTGAGCTTGGCGCATTCGGCCACTTTTTCCTCATGTAGCCGTTGTAAACGCTCCAATTCGGAGAGACGATTGGAGGCTAATTCGCGTTGTTCCTCCAACTCGCAGAGTATATCGTTGTACTTGGTCTTCGTCATACCCGGCAACGTGCTGCTTGTGTCCTCAGATCCTTCTGAAGGAGATTGGGAAAAAAAGGTTAAAACACCTACAGATTGTGCAAACACAAATACAGCAACGAATCCAAATTCAAAAAACAAGAGGAAAGCAATGATTCAGACGCATGTAACCAGTTGAGTAAAAATTAATTCAACAAGGAAGGAAAGATCCCCAAAGCCCTTCTACTCAAGAAACGCGCATATAAATAACGCTAGACTGAGTAATTGCCACTTCATACTACCACTGTAACACGTAATTGTATTAATTTCCAGATACAATTCTTATAAATTAAATTGAGGGCTGTTAAATCAACTATATATTACCATTGATTCCCCGAAGGAAAAAATAATGTAATAGTGGCTGGAACATGGATAACTTAGCTATAATCAAATGATTAAAAAAATTTGACCTATAAAATTGTGCAAATTTAATAGCTTAAGAGCCCAAAAGGTGGTTAAGCCGGATTCCTACCACATAAAGTATTCGAAAAAAGAATTAAACACGAAAACTGGCTGTTATCTTTGAGTTATGCTAGAGATATTATTAAAGAAGAGGAGTGGATGAATTCCTTACGTTCTACTAGGTCACAGAGACGGACAGTTGAAAGGAATTAGGTACAAATTTAAAGGGGGAACCAAAGTTACATCGTGGAGATTTAGGGAATTTACCAACGAATAACATTTGCATGGATTCAGCACATACTTTTAGTAAATGCATGCGCTTCCTTACATTGTCTTATAAAGACCACCAGCACAATACCCCACAAATATTAATGAGGCTTTCGTAACAGACTTTGAAAATGAAAACTGACGATCCATTGATTAGAAAGGTTCATTTCACCGAAATGTAGTAAAAATTGACAATTCTGAAATTTCAAAACGAGCGATACAAGTCACAAAAGACGGATTCAATTAGATCGAAAAGAAATTAAATGCTCATTAAAGGTAATTTCAATTAGAAATATTAAACGAATAATCTATATGCCCGTAGATTTTTACACAAAACGGGGTATCGCTTAAAGATAGATGGATTACTTGACGCGCAAATCAACACCGTTTTTTTCAGAACTCCGACAATGCGAAGAGTCCAAGTCATGACTGAAAACACCTTCAAAATTAATCCAACCTTCTACTTGAAATTTAAAAAATGCAGACCCCAACAAAAGGAAAAGGGGGCGAAATTAGCTCGAGTGAGAAACTACGGTAAAAAACACAACCTTTCGAATTGACAATAAGTGAGGAAAGAGTTGAATTCTGCACAGTGCATCACGAGGCTTCCACCTAATCTACCTAAAATTCGACAAAATCATAGCTAACAGAAGTCCATATAAACTTTGAAGGCATCAGTATCAAAGTAAGCTAAGGAAGCGCATAACTATTTCAGCTTAGCACACTAGCCTCTCTAGTTTTCACAACCATGAAAGGATCCAATATGCAGCAAAAACAACCAATTTCAACGGCATAAATGTTTTATTTTCATTTCTACGTAATTTGTAAAAGGATTATCAGTGCCTAGATTATCAAGAGATTAGATAGGAAAAACCAATTAGGAAAACGAAACGAATTAAAAGCACTGATAAAATATTTCCAAATTTGAAATGAAGAGTGGAAATTCAAATTCAATATCAGAACAAGCTCAAAAGTGATACGACCGAATACGAATAAGAAAACGCTTTAAAAGTCTAAGTCAAATTTACGGAAAAAAACAGAAAAACATGCTTACCTCCTGGAGAGCCAGAAGTCCCCTTGAATGCGGCCAATTCTTCTTCAAGTGCTTTTTTGGCTTGTTGTGCATCGTAGAGGCGATGATCAAGAATAGAAAGTTGCGAGGTCGATTGTTGAAGCTTATACTCCAAATCCTCATACTTTGCCTTCCATTCATCTGCCGAGTCGGAATTAGCTTGACACCTGTCTTGCAGTTCGCGAACCTACAGGAGCGTGGAGTAATTAGTGCAAAAAGAGTCCATCCCAGCCATGTAAAGTGCACTAATCACTTCAAGTTAACAAGTTGAAACGTACTATAAAACCTAGTTAAATCAACCCATCGTAAAAGTACGTTTAGGAAAACAGGAGGAAAAGATGGGGTGACGATGAACAAGAAAGTACCTTAAGACGTACTTTGAAACCTAAATCAACCCAGATAGGACAATATCTATCGGCAGAATCTTTAACACTAAGGCCATCGGGATTCAAATAATTCACATTATTTGTAAGTCAAAATCACAAAATACTTCATATCTTTCCAGAATGGTATTTAGGAGTTATTAAATACTCCAAAACAGATTCTTGTGATATCCCTCATGGAAAATGCTACAATTCAGTTCCAAGGGGGGGGGGGGGTGAAATAAACATCTAACTCTCTAACAGTGGAACTTCTAAAAAAAACTCTCACAATTCAATTTATGATTGAAACTAAGTTATAAAGACGTAATTAAGGTCTTCAATAACGTCAATGACAATATGCTTGCAAAAAAATTCGTGCAATGTAGTAAAATGTTTCGAATTAACAAACTACACATGTGCATAAGCTCCGATTGGAACAGCACTCCTCATCTTCGTTTGTTCGCATTGTTATTCCTAGACAATATCTCTAGAAAATAAGCTCGAAAAAAAGAGTTAAATAATGCAAACTGCAGTTGACAAAATACTTCAGAAGCAGGGGAAGACAAAAAAGTGTCAAAAAAACATAATAAATCGGAAATGTAGCTAAAATGTAACCTAACCAAAATCACAGACGAGACATTATTGAGGAAAAGTCGATTCAAGCAAAAATATTACAAATATAAGTGATTTGTTTATAAAGAAACACATACATGAAGACTCTGCTGACGGTGTTTAGCATGCATACTGGTACTAAGATTTTGAAGTCTTTCATTCTCAGCTGAGAGTAATGTAACTTCTTCACGAAGCGCCAAAATTATTTTCGCATTCGGATTTGATCCCCCACAGCCACCGGGAGGTACATTTGTTTTCTCATCTGCCATTTTTATCTCATCTGCTTGAGATGTAGAGGCCTTAGCTTTCTCCAAAAGCATAGACCGGAGATGGCTTTGATGAGCCACGAGTCTAAAACAGAGAAGTTTTGAAACAAAAAAATACCAGAAAATCACCTTGGATAGAGATGTGGCATTTTTAAGCTCTGAAAAACAGACTGAACCTGGTCTTTTGATGCACTAAAATGATAACAATGTTTATTGAATGACTACCGAAGAATATGAAGACAATGATCCATGATCTGGAGGACGAACACGATGGCCACTGGAGTAGAGGTGGTTTAAAACTTATGCGTGGGAAAACACCGTGATATCTAGATAACCGACGCTAATTTAACACAAAGTGAAAGAGGTCAATACGTCTTACCGTCTTTACTACACCTTTCAAACCATTTATATCAAATGGCAGGCGTTTTGATGGTTATCATTAGCCCTTTAGTTGACTTCAGGCTTCACAGAGGGGAGGAGGAACATCAAAGTGAAAAAAAGTCGAGAGGAGGGGAACTGAAGAGTGTTTCAAAGACGAAGGTTGAAAATTTTAGAAAAAATGTGATGTAGTACTGTGGAAGTAGTCGAATATGTCATACAGTGGGGTCGTGGTGGTTTGAAGTCAACTGTCGGTTAATAGACTTTTTTGCCGTATGAGTATACGTTGCCCAAGATGCATCATGTGGAGGTAAGTCTATCGCACACCCCCCTTCCAAACCATTATAACCAACAAGTATTAAAAAAATTAGTCAACCAGGGCATGTCTTCAGAAACGTTGTGGGTTGCCAATTGGAAAAACAATAATTAGCAAAAATCAGTTCGTAAATATCACCAGAATAGGTTAGATATAAAGGCAGTACTAGCAATGACAACTTATCAAAATAAAATCCTATTGAGCTGGAGTAAAACACTAATCATTGCAAAGATCAAAATACTTAAAATTTGTTGAAACCCAATACAAAAACTTAGTGACAGAGTTAATAAATTGAAAAGGAGATGAAGACCATTTTTCGTTCACGCTCTTCATCATTAATTCAAATGAAGTTGTAACTATTGTCATTGTCGGGCAGGTTTTGTCACCACCGGTAAATAAGCTACCATAGACAAACATATATATATATATATATATATATATATATACATTAGTAAATACATTGTAGAAAACAAGTAGAACTGCACATTACTGAGTGAAAATTTACCTTTCGATGGAAGTTAGCAACCTGGCTATGATACGCTTAGAAAAGTGGACGCGTTGTTGAAGCTTCTCCGGAACCTCTTCCTTCTCCCATGAAGCCAACTGCTTCAGAAAAGAGTCAGCTGAGTCGGAGACTAAAGAGGGGGGGGGGGGGGGGAAAGA